ATTTACGTCAGGAATATTCTCACATACATTCTCAATACACTATGTATTCTCAAATACATAATGATGTAATTCTAGTGATACTTGTAAACCAAAGGAAAAGAGAAGTATTACGTTTGAATTTGATTCTAAAGAAAGAGTCATCAAAGTCAGAAATTCATTCATACTTCCCACAGCCAATTCTTTTTTAAATTAAAACGGTTTTTCTTCAAACTCTTCCATTAGAAGTAAGTACAAATAATTTCTCTTTCAATTACTTTCAGTTTTGTTTGACGATAGGTATTACAATACTGTTTGGTGCTAGTGATGTGCAAACTATGCCGACTTGATCTACAATAGCAGTAACATCAGCTTTTCCGGGCTACCCTGAGAGCCTACCAATTTTCAAGCAGCTGCTGTGTAACTGAATAATTATTATACAAACCATTGGTAAGTTGTGGCTTGCTTATACATGAATAAATATCAATCTTGAGTTCACAATAACTGATTTCTGGCTGGACCCAGGCAGGCATCAAATTAATCCTCAATGAAAGAATTTATTAGTTGCATGAATACGTGAATTGTGAAGTGCTGCATTAATTTAAGCTGCTCTACTTCTGGAGTGTGTGTATATATGTATGTTTATATATATATACATTACATAGTGTATGTAAACAAATTGAGTGAACTAAATCCCATGTTACTTACCTTACTGAGAGGTTTCCAGGAGAGATCTAGATGCAAAAAAGTAGATGGTACATCAAAAGGAATTTCAATACTTTCTTCTTTCTTTTTCTCGGTTGGTTGAGAGGTTAAAGCTTTCTGTGGTCTGATATCCCAAAAACATATTGTGCTTTAAAAAAAAGTTTATGTTTTATTATTTTATCAAGTACAAATAAGAGGAGTAACCTCAGAACTACCATACTTGCTACACTTAGCAATGTGATTGTGGCTGTTTTTTAATATCTCTGAAATAGGACTGTAAAATTTTCTATTTTAGAGCTTTATGTAGTTTATAGGGTTAGTTAATGACTTTTCTGGTATTGAGACTAATATATATGAAGATTGAGTCTTGACATTGACACAATTTTTTACTAACATAACAGCTTTATTCACATATAACTCCTACCACAAAATTCACCCATTTAAAGTACACAATTTGATGGTTGTGCAACCATCACCACAGTCAATTTTAGATTTTCATCACCCCAAAAAAGAAACTCTCTACAGATTAGCAATCACTTCCCATTTTCCCCCAACCCTTCCCACCAGCCCTTGACAACCACTAATCTACTTCTTGTCACTATAGACTTGTCTGTTCTGGACATTTCATATAAGGAATCACATAATATGTGTTTTTTTGAAACTGGCTTATTTCATTTAGCATATTCAAAGTTCATACATGTTATAGTATGTATCAATACCTCATTCCTTTGTATTGCCAAATAATATTCCATAGTATGGAATACAACACACTTTATTTTTCCATTCATCAGTTGATGGACTGATGAATGGATAAATAAGTTTTGGGTGTTTTCCTTTTTTGGTTATCATGAGTAATGCAGCTATGAACATTTGTGTTTAAGTTTTGTGTGGATGTAACTTTCATTTCTCTTGGGTATGTATCTAGAAACAGAATTGCTGGCTTGTATGATAACTTCTATGTTTAATCTTTTGAGGAACTGTTTGTTTTCCAAAGCAACTGCATTGTTTTTCCATTCCCATCAACAACGTATGAGGATTCCAACCTCACCACACTCTTGCTAACACCTATCATTTTCATTTTTTTTATTGTAGTCATCATAGTAGGTATGATGTGGTACCTCATCAAAATTGATTTTGATTTGCATTTGCTTGGGCTTTTGGTGTAATATCTAGGAAATCACTCTCTAACTTAAATCCATAAGTATTTTATACTTATGTTTATGCTTTCTTCTAAGAGTTCTATAGTGCTAGCTCTTACATTTAGGTCTTTATTACATTTTCAGTTAATTTTCATATACAGAATGAGGCATAAGGATCCAACTTCATTCTTTTGTGTGTAGGTATTCAGTTGTAGCAGCACAATTTTTTGAAAAGATTAACCTTTCTCCATTAAATTCTCTTGGCATGCTTGTTGAAAATCAGTCAAACAGGCATA